GAATTCTGGGAGTTGAAGTCCAAACCCCCTGGAAGGCCCAAGCGGGCCCCTGCCTGGCCCTAAGTGTATCTCCCATCCCTCCTCCCTTCTCCTGGGGCCTTGTGCCCTTGTGCCAGGCGCCCCACTGACCTTTGCACTTGCGGTGGAGCTCGTCGAAGCTTCCCGGGTTGCCCCGGGGCTCCTCCTTCCTGGGGGCGCCCCTCAGGGAGCCCGGCCGAAGGGGCAGCGCGTTCCCCATGGCCGTCCAGCTCAACCGCTTCGGGCCATCGGTGGGCCTCTCCCTCCTCCTTCTCCCCAATCCCCTCAGAGGCTAAGAAGAGCCCCGGCCGCAGCTGTCTCTCCCCACAAACGCCGCCATGCCCAAGCTCCTTCTCCCGGAAGCAATCCCCTGACCCGCCAACCCGAACGCTTCCTCCAGCGGCCATCTTTGTCACGGGCAAAACTAATCCTTGCCTGTGTCGAAGCAAGGATTCTGATTGGACGACCTCGACGTCCAATGCCGCCTCGGGATTTTGTCCCACCCCCTCTTCTCTGCGCTGCCATTGGCCGAATGGTTCAACATAGAATGCTAAGAGTTGAGGCAGCCAGTCCCAACTCCCTTCTGCTAGGAAGGGACACAATCAAAGCCCTCCCAAGCGATAGCCATTCAGCCCCATTGAAATCCACAAGCATGTGGACAATTTCAACACAAAGGAAGAGACCGTGAAAATGAACAAAATCTGGCTACCAGTATTAAAAAACTCTAAAATTACAACAGCAAAACAGCAGAGAGGAAACAACCAGACACATCTTAACACCTCTCAACAGAACATTTTCCCAGGCTCAGCCAGGCCTTCAAATGCTAATGAAGGTGGTCAGTTGAAACATTCACACCTAGCTCCAGCAGAGAAGAGCTCTTTGCCCCACCCCAGCCATTCCACAGATATATAAACCCATTGTCCTAATTCCAACAGACCTCACTACCTCTGAGGATGCTTGCCATAGATGCAGGCAAAACGTCAGGAGATAAATTGCCTCCAGAACATGGCCCTAAAAAAACCCACAAGAACCTAGTCCCTTCCAACTCTTTGGTTCTATGATTCTATAATTTACTATATTTGTATACCGCCTTTCTCAGCCCACAGGCAACTCAAGGCGTTAACAGGGCAATATTCAATGCTTACAATGTCATAAATACAATTAAAAACATAACGCATAATAAAAACTAAACAAATCATTCTATATTAATAAAAATATAATGTTCGTTTGTGGGATTAATATAACTCAAAAACCACTGGACAAATTGCTGCCAAATTTGGCCACATGACACCTACTAACCCAAGGAGTGACCATGACTCAAAAAAAAAAAAAACAATTTTGTCATTTGGGAGTTGTAGTTGCTGGGATTTATAGTTCACCTACAATCAAATATCATTCTGAACTCCACCAATGATGGAATTGAACCAAATGTGCCATACAGGACTCCCATGACCAACAGAAAACACTAGAAGTGTCAGGGGTGATTTGAATGCAATATTCCTGCTTCTTGGCAGAATGGGGTTGGACTGGATGGCCCATGAGG